ATATATATATATATGTGTGTGTGTGTGTGTGTGTGTTTTTAATTTTCAAGACACACAAATCAACTCATGCAATATAGTTCTAGTTTTTAATAATCTCAAATACAATTTAAATAAAATGTCAAATTATCAGTTTTGTTGGCGATGAAAAATCGATAATTTTTTGCAAAAAAAAAATTCAAAATTGCAATAAAAATAATTTAAAACCAAAATTAAATAATGGATTGAAATAAAATATAAAATTACACTAAGTAGACATTTATTCCAAAAAATAATAATTTAAATGTCCTACCTACTTATATGATTTTTACAAAGTTATTTAATATCATTATATGTATATAATTTTGTTAATTTTTATAATAATCATTTTAAATAGTCAAATTATATCACAAGTAATCCATTATGAATCATAATTTTTATCTTTTAAATTAATCCAACATTCAAATTATTATGTATTATTCATATCGTATTATTATCGTTGTTTTCTCTCTTTAATAACACTATCATTTATCATTTATATCGTATAATTATTGTCTTTTTTTCTCTTCTATCACCTATTATTGTACACTTGCTATGAAGCACCCATGTCGGAAACTATTTTTGTGATGACACCACCCTTTTTTTATTCTTCGACCCCTCTTCTTCTTCCTTTTTCTTCTTCCATGGGTGTAGATCAACATTTTAATAAAAATCGTGTGTTCTATTTTCACTATAGTCACGTAACTCACTTCACTATTTTTCAAGTCATACCAACATAGCTTGCTATAATTCAACTCAAACAAAAACCCTATCCTTGTCCTTTTCTAAAGCCAAAGGCCTCATATTTTAATTTCACCGGTCTCATGGCATAGTTTTGTATCAAGGTAAACAGTTTCACCAACGAGTAATGCAATTTGTATTCCTTATAACCCAAACCTCAAATCTGCTTTCCCCTATTTTCCACCATGTAGAGACATACTTTGTTAGTGTTTTAATCTAATTGGATATGTTATTATGCACAGGTGCAAATATGTCGCAACACAATGGAGGCATGTGAGTTCAAATTTGTCATAACATGAAAAAAACTCGCATATGGATCTTTTGTGACACGACGGATGCACACGAAGGTGGAGGTGTGCAACACTTTTGAAGAGATGTTGTGGCCGAGGCAAAGACCAAGATGGTGATAATAAAGCACACAACATCTGACAATGAGATCGTAAAGGGGCTTAAGGGACTAATCAAGTTTGATGGGTGCATGATATTAGTGTAAAAATTAGACAAATTCAATGATGAATAAAGGTGATACATCATATATCATATATATAAAGGTGGTTCACTATAACCTTTATCTTAAAAAATTATACCTGGTATATTTTCTTAATGAATTGTTAATGTACAAATTGTTACGCAAATCATATATATATAAATAACTTCTTTAAAATCACATAAAAGTTAAATTACATTTTTAATTCTATGTAATACTTAGTATGTAATTTTGTTCTTCAATTTTTAGATTTGTAATTTTAGTTCTTTAATTTTACACTAGTGAAAAATCAATTTTTTACATCATCTCTTTATCGTTGGACATACAAATAAGCGACGTAAAAAAGACGTGGTGATAATTTTGAAAATAAGTCGAACTATTTTACGTCGGACTACATAGGATTTGACGTAAAATTTGAAATTTACGTCGGACAGAAGCCACAGCCGACGTAGATTTGAAATTTTAAGTCGAATTCCTATTTAGTCTGACGTAAAAACCTTTTTATATTCATAGGCACGCCTTCGTCTTCCTCGCGCGCGTGACCTAGGTTAATCTAAAAAGCGTTTGGGCGATTTCTAGCGAAGGTGAGAATGAGTTCTGGTTGTGTTTTGAGCTCCAGCGACTTCTGGTGAAGGGCGGCTCATCATTGGTGGGTCATTCTCCATCTTTTTAATCGATTGGAATCTGATGAAGGCGTTTCTGAGTTTCTGGCAAAGGTGGGTTGTTATTTCCGGTGAGCCTTCCATTCATTTCCCTTTCATTGCCTATATATGAATCTTCGGCGTTTTTGTTAGGGGAGGCTTTGGCATCTTGGTAGATGTTGGGGTTTGTGAGGTCGGGGATGGTGACGGAGAGCGGTTGGGCGACACGTGAGGTTGTTTCATGCACGTAGAGGGTCAGGAAGACGACCTTGAAGTTGGCCTAGGGCTTCCAGTCGGCGACGCAAGAGAGGTAGACGTTGCCGATGACGGGGAGGATGTTTTACGTCGGACATGGTGAATCGTACGTAAATTTATGTTTCCCGCATTAACGTCGGATTTATTTACAATGTAAAAATTTCAAAATAACCAACGTAAAATACCTTTTCCACTAGTGTTATAAAATCTATAATTTTAGTTTAATTGTTAAATGTTTATCATTTGATTAATAAAATTATAATTTAAATCATAATTAAATATTAAATAATGATGCCATAATTAATATTTAATAATATTTAAATTAAATTTTGTTTTTATTTTTCACTTCATAAAAGCAGTGAAAATGAACTAAAAATGCATGCAAAATATAATTTTGTTCAAATATTATTAAATATTAATTATTATATTATTTACTTAATATTAAATCATCATAAATGTTATAATTGTATGATTAACAAAAAAAAATTCATATATAGAATCAAAATTACAAATTTTATAAAATAAAAAAATTAAAATTATAAATAAATTTATAAATTGAAATAATAAAATGGGAGAATAAAATATTACATGTAACAAAAAAAAATAATTTTGCCCAAATTGAATAACGAGACTTAAGCTACGTTTGCTGCAATGGAAGAGGGAGATAGGAGAAGGGAAGTGTGGGAATAGAGGGTAAGTTTACCCGTTCATAGCCATTACTTCATGTAAATTTATTTATAAGAAAATAATTTTAATTTTTTTATCTAAAATATAAGTAAATTTTATTAAAGTCAATTTTATTTAATATTTTTAATTTAAAAATATCATTATGATAATAAATAAGAGTACTAAATGTGATTAAAGATATTTTAAGAAATATAATGTGTATTTTAAAATTGTAAAAATTAAATTTATTTAACAATTTTTTTTAATTTATATGAAATTAATTTTATTTATTTATACATAAATTTAGAGGGAGTAAAGAAGAATAGGTGGATTGTTTTGGTGGATTCCATCCAAAACATACACCTTCAAAACTGAGGAGATGGTGTGGGAATGAGAATAATTTTTTTTCTTCTATTTTTACCCTTAATTAGAAAGATTCATTATCAAAATTCAAAATACTAAAGTATAGTCATTTATGCTTTAAACATAATCAATTATACTACTTTGGATTTGTTCTATTACAATATTTAATATATCTTTCCATTGTTTCTTCCATATGAAATATCAATTATATAATTGATTATATGTAAAGTATAATTATTATATAATGAAATTATCAATAATAAAATGAGAGTTACGAAAGTTATTTAAAAAAAAAATATAACCTAAATTTTTATTTTGTTTAAAAAATATGTTATTTTTTTAAATCTTAACTTCCTTTCATTTCTCATCTATCAAAAGCCTTTAGTTATACTTTATTGCGTATGTACTTCTCATCTGTCTTCTTTAGACTTTACAAAACACCGTTAAGCCGTCAAATATCCTGAGATGTAAATGAGGGGCACAAGATTGATAAGGGCAATTTCCGATTGAAGGGCATTTTGGTCCGAACAGTGAAGATTGGTATGAGTTCGAGTGACAACTGCTTTTCTTTCCTCGACGTGTTCCCCACAGAAAATAAAGAAGTTGACAACAATATTGAATAAATAATATTAAATAATAATCATAAAAAATGTTTCTTTCTGACTGTTGAATCTGATTTGTTCTTCATCTTTGTTTGTTGGCTTGTTGAGAGCAGTTCCACTTCTAAAACTGAAACAAAAAACTTCACTTTCTGTTTCCATTTTCCACCCAAAACACCTTCTCAACAAAACAACCTTACCCAACTCATCATTTGCTTCGTTTGTGGGGAAAGGAACTTCATTTCTGCTCCAGAAGCTGCTTTTGCAGTTTCCCACTAATGGCAAAGTCAGGATACAAACTACGTATCCTTTTTTTTTTTTTTTTTTTTAAATTAAGTTTTGTGCCTTAGAAAATGCTTTCTGATCACCCCATTATGGTTGTTGCTACTAGTGACTGAGTTTCTGTTGAAATGTGGTTGAGCTGTGTCCTTGAAACCTCCAATTTGTTTTCTTTTTTATGGTTCATCGTTGAATGGGGCAAAACATGTTTGTGCTTGTTTGCTTTCTGGGAGGCGAAGTGAAACCTCTTTAGTAAATTGAAAGTCATGGCGAAAAGTTCAGATTTTTTTAGGCCTCTTTTCTCCAGTTAATGGCTGAGGAATTGTTAGAGATTGATGGAAATGGAAACTTTCAAGTTGCAGTTTTTTTTTTTACTTGATTTTCTTTGTCTTGCTTTTGATAAGCTGAACTATTCTGCTAGAAAGAAACGGATATTTTAGGATTTTTTTTTCTGGTTTAGCTTCAAATGTTGATTGTAATTTATTTGGGTCTGATTGTATTATTTTTTTTCAATATTAGTCTGTTATTGACTCTGTGGAGTGTAGATGTTTGGTTGTTTTGGTAATGTGCTTTCCTGAGCCAATCAACTGTAGAGGAATTTGCAGCCCATTCAGGGAATGTAAACTGTTTAAAAATTGGAAGGAAGGCTAGACGCCTTTTCGTTACAGGAGGGGATGATCACAATGTCAATCTATGGATGATTGGGAAACCAACTTCTTTAATGGTCAGTTGATTGTTGCCTTTTTATTTTAGCATTTTGGTTGTGATATGACTAAGGCATGATTGTTAGGCTGTAATGAAAGGTCCATTTCTTATGTGCACTTTGTTGCAATTTATGTTGTTATAATGTTTGCGACTCAAGGATTTATATTGTTGCTTGTGACTGAAGGACTTGCTTTCAGTTCATATTAAATGATAAGCTTATTATATTTGGACTGAATTAGGCATTGTCTGATGATGATAGAATATGATATGAAGCAAGATTTTTACTCAAATAATGTAACTATTCAAATTATTTACCTAAAATAGGATCCTCTAAATCTATTTACAAATATGCATCACATTTGCCATGTATTTTGTGGGATTCAAGGATCGTCATATACCAAGACGCTAAAATTGCCTTTTCTCCAACACAGCAAGTTTCCTTAATGGCCAATTCAATGACCATTAATCAAACAATTCTGATGTCATTATGTCAACATTGTTTTTTTTCCACATAACTAGCTTGAAAGTTGTAAATGAAAAAGTTGAATTGAACCAAGATGAGTGAACATTGAACTGTGTGTGATCTCAAATATGAAAGAAGTGAAAAGTGGAAAAAAAAATTCTTGAGAATAGACTGAACTTAAAGTCAGAAAGTTTAAGATCCTTGGAATCTGGGAAGGGAATGCTGGGTTTGATTTCTATTATTTGTGGACAATCCCTGATGATTTCATGGTAGTTATCTTGCCCTGCACTGTTACTTACTGGTGATTCCAGCACCATTATCCCTTCTTTTGCAGTCCCAGAATAATGCTGAGCTTGAAACTCACTCAATCTGAAAATTTTCTTCCATACATAGATCATAATAATCTATCAGCTGTACTTATTTTTACTCTGAAAGGATTCCCTTTGTGACATTGGTTTGACTTTCTTATGATAGCAGCATAGCCATGTAGAGCTTTGAACCTAACTGTGCTATCTTACTGTAAATATATGCAGAGTTTATGTGGTCACACTAGTTCAGTAGAATCTGTGGCTTTTGACTCAGCAGAAGTATTGGTTCTTTCTGGAGCATCATCAGGGGTAATAAAGCTTTGGGATTTGGAAGAAGCAAAGAGTAAGTTAATTAGTATATTCTGAAGTCGCAAGCTGTATTATGTAATGATGTTATTTATAGAGCATCAGACTTTTATGCTAGGGAAGAAGTGCAAACTTGCTGATCATAAACAATTATTTGATTTAAGATTTGACTTACATTATCTACTTTGCATGCATGAGTGAAATGTTATAAGATTATAAGGGCATCTAGGAGAACTATAATAAGTTCAAGTAAAGCTTTTCAATTTGTTAAGTGAAATGTAAGTTTCACCCATTTTCCAAATTATCAATACACCACTAATATATGTGCAATTGTTCTTGAAGTATAGTGGTTCGCACTCTTAATGGACACAGATCTAATTGCACTGCTGTTGAGTTTCATCCATTTGGTGAACTTTTTGTATCTGGCTCTTCGGACGCTAATCTAAAGATTTGGGATATCCGAAAAAAAGGATGCATTCATACATACAAGGGTCATAGCCAGGGCATCAGTACTATCAAATTCAGTCCAGATGGTCGTTGGGTTGTTTCTGGTGGATTTGATAATAGTGTGAAGGTAATAGCTTCAATTGTATATAGCTTTCACAACTGTTCTTTGAATAAGTTATAGATCTAACTTGCCAATGTACAGGTCTGGGATCTAACAGGAGGAAAGCTCTTGCATGACTTCAAGTTCCATGAAGGACACATTAGGTCCATAGATTTCCATCCTCTTGAGTTTCTTCTGGCTACAGGTGAGTTGGTGTGCCTCAGCTTGGAGTGGTAGATGCTCATGCATCTGCAAAAATTTTACAAAGATCCTTGTTTTATTATTATAATGTTGTTTCAAGTGCACCAAATGAAATTTTACTTTGTTATATAGTTGGTCAAACTTAATGAAAATCTATGCAACAATTATCTATACAGTATGCTACATCTGTGGAGGGACCAAGGAAATATTTGAGCATCTTCTTTCTGGTCTAGCCCCATAATTCTTTGTTGTTGGTATCAATTATTGATATCACTGTGCATGAGCTTTTGTATGGTTACATAGACATAATCCATTCATAGAATGTAATTGAATTTGACATTTATATGTAAATTTATGTTCTCTTGTGTTAGTTCATGAATCATGACTTGACCTTGAAGGATGGAAGCTGTTATTTCAACCAAAGCATTTATATTGAAATTATTTATCTAAGGCCATAAGTTGCTATTCAACAAAACAAATAAGAGTTCACAATTTGATTTGCAGGTTCAGCATACAGAACAGTGAAATTTTGGGATTTAGAAACCTTTGAACTGATTGGATCTACCAGATATGAGGTATCTAAACATGCTGAAACTTTCTTCTGCTTGAAAGAAAATCAGCTATACCCATTTTTATACCACAAATTCTGCCTGCAAATCTGCCTCTTATCAATTGAATTTGTTGTAATACATCTAGATCAGTTTTATGCCACTACTATGTTTCATGGAAACTTGGGTAACCTTTTCAATGGATAACACTGCTCAGAACTTTATTTTACCTTACATTGTTGTGGATGGTTTCTAAATGCAAAATGACTAGTTTAGTGGTGACCTAGAACATTTCTCCACTTTTATATCATTCAAAAAAGTTAATTATTTTCTGTAACTTGAAATTGCTAGTGTATTGTGCCCTGTTGTTAATCTTATAGATGCATAAAATGTTAATATAGCTTAGTTGCCATTGTAGCATGGTGGATTTTTAGTTTTTTTTTTTTTTCTTCTAATGTTCTTGTACATTTATTTTCCAAGATGCATGTGCATGCACAGGTTCACCAAAATTTATATAAAATAGTAAACTCTAACAAGTATAAATTACTTTGTATTAGGTTGCAGGAGTACGCTCAATAGCTTTTCATCCTGATGGACGGACCCTATTTGCTGGACTTGAGGATAGTTTAAAGGTACAGATTGTTTGTTTCAATAATTAGATTATAATGATAACATCTTGAACAGGATAAAGATATCATATCTAATGCTCATTTATTGTAGGTGTATTCATGGGAACCTGTTATATGTCATGATGCTGTTGACATGGAATGGATAACGCTTGGTGACCTATGTATTCATGATGGGAAGCTTTTGGGTTGCTCATTCTACAGTAATTCTGTTGGAGTATGGGTGTCAGATATTTCGGTAGGGCTGGATTAGTTGATATATTTATTTCTCAATTAAAAATCTGATATATGTTGATGATATATTTAAATGCAAAGCCACAATGTCTGCTGTGCTTATGTCAACAATGAATTTTGTGACTACATCACATCCATATTAGTCTGGGAACAACGAAAATCTAATTTTGAGATCATTTCCTGTAATTTATTCTCTGTTAGCTACCATTCTGATTGTTATTTTTAATGCATCAGCTTATTGAGCCATATAGTGGCAGTTTGGAATCCGAAAGAAAAGAAAGCTCAGAGCAGAAACTTAGTCTCCAGGGAAGACAAATGGAGAAAGTAGAAGCTGGTGTGGGACCAACTTTTGGGTTGTGCAGTATGTCTCCTGACAATGAGTCAAAAGAGATAAAGAATATATATATAGACTGTAAGACACAGACCTTTTTGTCTTCCCTTGGTATTAGACATGGCATAATTAAAATTCTGAAAGAATTCATCTTTCAAAATACAGTTGGTGCCATAAAGTACATATGAGCTCATTAATAGGTAGGATACTGCAATTGCATCAGTGGATTGTTTGGTGAAGAATCTACTGAACATTTAATTTAACTGAATCAAGCTAGAAATTTACTTTTACAAGCATATATGTACTGAAGTTCTTGACACAACGAATGCAAATTAGGATTCTGGATATGACCCCTCTAAAGTGAGCAATTAGACACATAAATCATAAGCTAATTTGTAGAAGCTCTCTTAATATTAATTTCTCTAAAAAAACTTTTTTTTATCTTATGCATAACCTAATTTAAGCTTATGGAGAAGTTAATTTCATTTTGCCTTCCTATTTTCTTCTCTTATAAGTGCTTATGAATAAGTTTATCCAAACAGGCCTATATATATTTTCCCATGTCAATTTTTTTTGTATGATTCTGAATACTGTCCCAATGATGTACTAAAGGACAATTTTTTTTTTTATGTATATAAAGCTTCTGGAGGGAGTCCTGATACCTTACCGAGATCCAGGTCTTATAATTCTCCAAAAGTAGATCTTCCTGAGGATTCCAAAGAGATGCTAAACTGGAGTCCTGCAACAGGAGTTCGTGCAAAATCAAATGAACAAGCACTTAAAAAGTCACACATTGCATCAAACTTACCCGGGGGCATTCTCAATGGAAAGGAGTCAGCAACCTTTTCGAATTCAAAACCTGGGATGTTGCTTAAGCAATCTCATGTTCAGGGAGTATCCACAAACACATTTGATGTTGATGAGTTTTCATCAGATTTGGATTCTGGAACATTTTGTGATACTATAAGCAAATCCGACCGGGCAAACTTTCAAATGAAGCATGGACCCCAGAATGAAGTGAGAGAATCTATTGAGGATGAACATGCTATCAAGAGTGTCACAGAGAAGCTTGAGAAAACTTTAACACCAGACAGATTTTCTGAACAAGAGAAATGTACGTTTTTTTTTCCTGTCAAATCACTGTATACAAGTCAAATGCAAGTCATTGCTGATTACATTTAGGATTTGGCTCCTCTAAAATGATTAGTTCAATTCAGAGAGAAGTGTGACACCTCAAGTTCTCAACTGTTAATAATAAAATCAAGGGTAGATTTTTAACAAGTAAATCATTTGTTATGCATGTGCATGTAACATCAACTATTTATTAATAAGTAACATCAACTATTTATTTCCTTGGGTGGAGCCAAAATCGTATATTTTATTAATCTTATTCTTGCAATTTCCTTTCTCTAATTTATGTTTCCACTTCAACAAAAACTGAGTTAACTTGACCACTATTCTCTGCTCTTTTCTTAGTTATATAGCATGGGCTAAATTAGTGGTTGACATGATTGCCCTGAACTATATTTGGCTTCTCATTGGTTGAATAACTGCTTTTCACTTTGATGCCAGACCTATTAACCATGTTGTGTTTCTCATCCATTCATTTATCAAAAATCTTACATTTCAATCTTGCTTGTCAAATCTGTGAAGATTTTACTGAACTTTTATGTATGCTTCATATTGTATCAGAAAAAATTACTCCTGTTATTTCTTACTCCAATCTCCTGAAAAATATTGAATAAACTGTTGGCCAACACTCGAGTCTTGACAGATAAAATCTTTTATGGGTGTTAATAAACTAAGATTCTGATATGTAGTTGTTGATATTTTGGTTCTACAATTGTGTAAAAAGTAGGCATGCCATATTTATTGGGTAATTTGGGTCATTAATATGGGAAAAGACATATGGTCACCCATTATAAATATTTTATCTTCTTTCAGGTAATCAATCATTTCCTTACAGCAAAGAGAGTAGTCCAGTTAAATATATCAATGGAGGTTTGCCATAGCTCATCAATGTTGTTTTATGATCTAAGAAAGCCCCAAGAAACTGAATATTTTTAAATTTTGCTTTTAGCAGTTGCTGTTTTACCAGGAAGGACCCGTTCATTGGTTGAGAGGTTTGAAAGAAGGGAAAAAACTCCCACCAATGAGGATCAAGCTAATGCAACCCCCATCACAATATTTGCAAATAGGGGAAATTTTGTCAAAGAAGATCAGACTAAGACATCCCCCATCACCACCATGACATCTGAGAAAGAGGAAAGAATTCCTTTCAGTGAAGATCAAAACAATATGTCTACTGTTCCCAACACAACCAGCGAAACTGATAAGTCTACCAACTTCCTGGTAAATTTCTAGCTTGACAAAAGACAAGCCTTATGAAACTAGACACTGGCATCATCACTCTAGCTTCATTTTTTTAGCCAAAAAAAATTATTTTTGGTTATTCCAATTTATTGACTTATAAGAAAGAAGCTAACCAAGTGAAATAGGATGCTAGACTTGAAATACATATTTGTGAAATATGTTTTCTCCCTTAGGCATGTTTGGTAGAAGGAATCTAGGTGGAAAAGAAAGGAAATTGTGAATATATTTGGACATCCACCGGCTCAAATATGTAAACAATTTATTTTCCTTTCCATTTAAATCCTCTCTAACAAGTATAGTGTCAAGGTTTTAGAAATCTGTAATTTAAGATGATGTCAATATATTCTATATTTGATTTTTTTTTTCACATTTTGGTTTGAGTTATGCATTTGCTATTGGCTTTCTGTTCTGGCTTTAGTTGTTTTACAGTATTAAGTAGCATAAAATATAAATTACTTGGCTTTCTGTTCTTGCTTTAGTTATCTTACAGTATTAAGGAACATAAAATATAAATTACTTGGTAAATGCCGAAGGGTTAAGAGAGTGGTTTCATACAGTACATCAAGAAACAAGAATTGTTGCTATTGTTGATGTAATATTTAGAGGGGAAGAATGTAATCTTTATTTTCCTGGTTGTTTTCTGCTAGGCCGGGGCTGGGGTTTAGGTGGATGTTACTTGGATTCATGTTAAGAGGATAGGACTAGGAGGTGTGGAAAACTGGAAATGTTTAAACGAAGTGAGGGGACTGCAAAATATATTTGTTAAAGTTACTCAGAATAGTTGAGTTACATATCCAACCTCAAACCTTATTTATACAATGAATATGATTAGATAAATACATGTATGTATACCCTTTGCCTTTAGTGTAATACAAGGAAAAGGAACCATCTGTTGACCAGCAGATCTTCACCTTGCGCCTTCTGCTTATTACTATTCTGTTGGTGTTGGTTTCCCTGTTTCTTTGGTTTCTAACTATGAAACCTATATGTTGAAAGAATGTGGTAATTCACACTCAATCACACGCTTGTTTTTTGGGTCATGCTGCAATCACTTTTTTACATATTGTCAGAAAGTTGAGCTTCAAGATTTTGGAGGGGATTCAAACTCCGCAAATGAAGGAGAAATAATTGAAGGTCTGATGCAAACTCATGATGTGACATTAAGTAATCTCCGTTCCCGTTTGACAAAATTACAGGTAAGTTTAGCTATTCAGATATTAATAATCATCTGCTTTAAGGCTAAGCCTGTGTTAGAGTTGTAATTCCAGTGTATTAATTTGAGCCTTAAAACTTTTTGACAGTTTGACTGTAGCCTATATGTTGATGTGTGAAGGTGCATCTTTGTTTTTGTTTTCTCAACAGGGATATAGAAAGAAAATGATATAAAGTGGATTAATTTTGTTCACTGATAGGTTCTGATGCGCGCATTTTCAGGTTGTACGACATTTTTGGGAGCGGAATGATAGCAAAGGTGCCGTCGGTGCCTTGAGAAAGCTGCCTGATCAATCTGTGCGTATTTTCTTTATTAAGTGGTCGCGTGTCACTTGTTGGCTTTTTGTTTGTTCTGTATTAAAGGTTTAACAAGTTATGTATGTATGGTTTGTTATTGAACATATAGTCCTGAAAATAAATTCCTATGTATGTAGGTTCAAGCTGATGTTGTCAGTGTCCTTGTTGAGAAGACCGAGATTCTCACCTTAGATTTATTTTCTTGCTTACTTCCTGTGCTCGTAGGTTTGCTGGATAGCAAGATTGAAAGGTAATTCTTTACTAACATGGTGTTTGGAAAATACATGCTGGAAGTTGAAGTATGTGGGACACTGGGACTTCATATTTGGCCTCATCTAGTGTGAGGTTTCTAGTTTATAGGCAAAGTACAAAAGCAGTTTAAATTTTCATGCATGTTCCCACGGTATACAGATGGCCCTGCATGTCTTTGAGAATTTAGTGTTTAACCAAACCCAATAGTGTCATGTGATCCATGTAGTTGACCTTAGTGGGATTTGTTGTTGTTCCTACTGATGGTGGCCTTTGCAGAAAAATGACAAAGTGGTTTTGGTAGACATTAACTCTGTTCTTGGTGTGCAGACATGTGAAGGTGTCATTGGATATGCTGCTGAAGCTTGTAGCAGTTTTTGGTCCAACAATACGATCAACCATTTCGGCACCTCCCTCAATTGGCGTTGATCTACATGCAGAGCAAAGGTGCCCTCCATCTACACCTAATGTGGCTTTCTCTATTTCATGAAGCTTATATGTAAATGGAACTAACTTATACAAAATCTTGATAACAGGCGAGAATGCTCCAATCAGTGCTTTATGCAACTGCAGAAGATCCGGATGATTCTTCCGATAATAATACGGTAATCATGTAGTCTTTAGTGTTGCCAACACATATATATACTGAAGTCAATGTTGCATACTGGTGATTTTAAAATAGAAAACGAAAAAAATGTCCTTGCTAGTTTCTATTTCTATATTTTGAACCTGTCCTTTTATGGCAAGATCTGAATCCCTTTGAAAAATAAGAGAAGTAGCATTTGCACCTATATATTCCTATTGTAAATAAGGTATGTCAAACAATTTACATTGCCTTTTGGCTGATTATTTGTGCTTCTGATTTTATTAACCATCAACTTGGAGTTGTTGATTCTTAACCTGTTTCTTTACATATCATTGACATTTATTTACATCTAGATACAGCAATCAAGAGTCATGGTTTCTCTTTTCCCTTGTCTTTTTTTTTTTTTTTTTTTTTTTTTT